ACGCACAGAGCAGGGCCCATCAAGGGGGTTGGGGCTTTGTACTCTGTCACACACAGAGCAGGGCCCATCAAGGGGGTTGGGGCTTTGTACTCTGTCACACACAGAGCAGGGCCGATCAGTGGGTGGAGGAGCTCCCCCCTGTCACTCACAGAGCAGGGCTGATAGGGGAGTTGGGGCACCGCCCCCTGTCACACACAGAGCAGGGCGATCGGGGGGTTGGGGAGCTCCCCCCTGTAAGGAACAGAGCAGGGTGGATAGGGAGGTTGTGGCCCCGCCCTCTGTCACACACAGAGCCGCAGGGCGGTCAGGGGGTTTGGACGGTCATAGCTGTCACGCTGATCCCGGTGCCGGGAGGCCTCACGGCTCTGCTGATCCCAGTGCTGGGAGGCATATTACCCTTTTACTATATAGGGTAGAGGCCTGGTGCACGGGTGGGTGCCGGCTGGTTTGCCCCTGAAGGGTGTCCTGGATCAGGTTGGGGGTCCCCACTGGGGTGCCTGGCCAGCCTTTGTGAGGGGATGATGGCTGTTTGCAGCTGGTCACACACCCTTCAGGGTGGGGGTCCCCACTGGGGTGCCTGGCCAGTCTGGGTGAGGGGCTGAGGGCTGTTTTCAGGCTGGGGGTGACTGAAGCTCCCAACCGCTCCTTTTTTTCTTTTTTTTTTCTTTTTTATTCTGGGCCAGCTTTAGCTTTGAGGCTTGGCTCCAGCTCTTAGGCCTCCGCTGCTGAAAGTAGGTTTCTGGCCTTTTTTTACAATGTTGCGATCCTGCTGACTGAAGCCCGGGACTAAAGCCGGTTTCTGGGGTTTGGTTTAGCTTCTATATTTGTTACATAGTTGCTTAGAGTTGCAGCTCAGAGGCCTACAGCGGCAGGCGGGAACGTTGGAGTCCTCCATCACTGAAGCAAGCAAGCCTCGTGTTAGTTTTAAGCTGCCTGGCTGCTGGCCGCCATCTTGGCTGGCAGTTAATTTGCATATCACCCTGATTAGCCAATGGGAAGGGTAGCGGTCGTAACGCCAATTACCATGTTTCTCTTTTATTAGATAGGATAGATTAATTCAGTGTTTAAGTATTAACTAGTGTATTTTATAAAATAAGAATTTTTTTTCCCCAAGGGTGAAGCAGTTTTCAAGATGAGCTGAGAGTATCCATGGGCAAACAGTAGTCCCAGGGGACTTAAGTGACCCTGAGCCGCACAGTTATTGGCAGTGTATTTCAGAGGATCCACATTCTGATTTTATAGCCCTTTACTTTTTTCCAGTGCCCTTGCCATCTTTTTTCACAAACACGAGAGAGGTAATGTCGTCGTGCTCCTCTCCCGTTGTCTTGGGAAAGCAGTTTCTGAATGTCTGCCAAGGTAAAAACAAAAAGCAATGCTACTCTACCTAGAGTAGGGCTAACTGATTAAAAGGGCTAATATTTCTGACACGGACAAAGTCCTTTGTCTTATAGAGGATTCAGTCCCTTTTGTTTGTTTACATTATTTCTGTGGAATCACTCCTATGACTTCCTAAGGGGGAGCCAATGTAATTTCTTTTTAGTCAAGATAGAACCTATTGATTTAGCATTTCAGAAAGAATCCCATACAATGTTAGTGGCTTTCCCCCTTTACCAGCTTAACAATTTTGCTGCTATCACCACCCCATCTCTACCCACTCTATTGCTAGGTCATTAATTTTCCTGAGAGGCAAAACTGCATACCCTCTAATGTGGTGACTTTGATTGCTCTGTACATATTTTCCACTAGTGTTTTCATTTCATAATGTCCTTCTAAATATAGAAACAGACAATTTTCCTTCTTCCTAGTTCTATATCCCTTTCTTCCCCTATCTCTCATTTTATTCAGAATAGAAAAATGTGAAGTGACTATCCTTTGTAAATAGAATCCCAGTATTACAGAGTTTACCTGTATCAATCAGTCAATTTAATTATTTTTCCATTTAAACTTTGTCTGCTATAGTGAACTGTAGAATTCATTAAAGTAAATTTCTTTAATGACTCTAACATATGCTAGTAATGGCAGAATATTGGGTATTATTAAAGTAATTTGTTATTTTGGTTACATATTTCAGGTATTAATTATCCTAAAGAAATCTTTCATAATTTATGCCTGGCCTATGCTGTTTTTGAGTGTATGAATAATAGGGTACTTAGGACTCCACAAAAAAAAGATTTGCTAGTTTTCGTAAACTCTGACCTTTATCAATACCTAAATACCTACTTACCATTTCCAGCTTTCTTTCATTTTTTCCTAATACTTGCTAAGTGGTTGATCTAAAGGGCAGCAAAGAAAAAACCCGTGGGTATAGTTCACCAGCATTATTTTCAGATTTGAGTACTGGTAATATCTCTATTTTCCTCTAAGAAACAGCATTTACTTTTATGTCCAGAGCCTAAATGTGATATGATATCAAGAAAAAACATAACTGGCATGACTTTGGTTAAAAGACCATTTGTAATATTTTCTGCCAGGTATAAAAGTTTGTATTGTTACAAATTTTTATTTTTATTTAGTTAGAGATTTTTGCCCTACAGGCTGTTTGAGAAATGGGTTAAATATTGTGTAGTGTTTAGAAATAGCCTTTCCATCAGCTCTTCACACCACAACAGATCTTTTGTCAGCAAGCCTCAAAATATAAGACAGACAAGGCCAATAGAGTACCATTGTCTTTGCCTCTTAGGTATGTGAAGTATGGCTCAGGCCCAGCTCGGTTCCCACTCCCCGACATGTTGAAATACGTCATTGAATTTGCTAGTACAAAACCTGCCTCAGAAAGCTCTACGTCTCAGAGTGACACAAGCATGACATCACCACTTTCTCCAGTGCGTTGCCCGGTGTCTGACCTGACATCCAAGGAAAGGTAATGAAAAAAAGTTTTATTAGTATATGTATATATATTTTTGGTTTATTTGTACTGTGCACCTTCTTTCCATCTGATTAACACTCACCCCATATGAGCTTGAGGTCTTGAACTCCTTGTCTTAAAGGGAAGGATTTTGCCAACTGTTCCTTGAGAGAATGTTCCCAATTCCTACCAGTGCACTCCCCTGCCCGTAGGAGGGTGGGGGTTATTTCAGAGCTTCCTGAACTTGTTTTGGGCTAGCTGCCAGCGGTCTTTCTAAGAGGAAACTTCCGCCCTGCTCTTCCAAACATCTTATTCTTGCTGCTGAAAATATGCATGACTAAGTAACATTAAGGAAAGAGATTTATTCATAAATAGAAAACTAACAGGTGAAAAGAACTGGCTCGCAGTTGAAGAGGACAGCCTAGAAGGGCTTATCTAGGGAAGGAAATGGGGAGATCAGCGCTCAGGAGCCCTCTGCTTCTGCTCTGGCCCAGCCACATGCAACAACCTTTGTAACCTGGAGGAACCATTAGGGTCAGCTCGGAGTAAACTTGACGTGTGCCTTGACTAATAAAACAAAACACTAGAACCTGTTTAAAAAGGTTAGATTTTTTTTTTGTTCATTTGTTTTAAATATTTTTTTATTGATTTCAGAGCAGAAGGGAGATGGAGAGAGAGAAACATCAGTGATGAGAGAGAATCATTGATCAGTTGCCTCCTGCACGCCCACAATGTGGATGGAGCCTGCAACACGGGCGTGTACCCTGACCGGGAATTGAACCGTGACCTCCTGGTTCATAGGTCAGTGCTCAATCACTGAGCCACGCCAGTCGGGCTAGATTTTTTTAAAAAGAAAGATCAGGTCTTTACTGCAAGATCATTCAAACATCACGCAGCAGCAGTTCCTTCAGTACATTGCAAAGTACTTATCAGGGCCAGGGCCCCACACTGTAGTTTATTTCATAAAGTGACATCTTAAAAGTAGTGTGGCCACTGTTGAAGTTCACATCAGCTTTCCATTGGAGGGGAGGGGTAAGTCAGCTCATCCGAAAGCATCAGCACTTTTGGTGATGGGGAGAGGGTCAGCTCTAATGCTGGTATTCTCGGGGGGAGGGGAGTCAAGGATGAGGTGGACTGAAGCGAGCGTCTCCAGAGCCTCACTCCTGCCATCTCCTGGGGCACTTTCTGGAATATAGAATGTATTCACAGGGCTGACAAAACAAGGCCAGGTTCAGGCAGCACTGCCCAACCCAGACCGGGCTCCTGCCCACTCAGGAATCTGCGGCAGTTCAGGCTCTGATCAGTCTGTGTTTGCGGTGGAGCGGTAATGCCACTGTGTGTGTATGTGGCAGGTAGGATGGGGATAAGGAGTTATCTTTGATTTTCTTTCTTTCACACCACACGTCGAATCCATTGGCATATCCAGGATCTTTCACTTCTCACCACCTACATCACCTCATGGGTTCAGTCCACCAACATCCATGGTTTGGCTTATGGCAGTGGCCTCCTAATTGGTCTCTCCCACCCTGTAGTCCTTCAGCATGTGAGCCAGGATACTCCCCCGTTTAAAATAGGTCTGATCATGCCCCTCTGCCTAAAGCCTTGGAGGGGCTGCTATCTCCCTCAGCACAAAAGCCAGCGTCCTTCCTGTGGCCCACAGCCCCTCCATCCCTCTGACTGTGTTTCTGGCTGCTGCCTCTGGGCTCTGCTATTTCCTGGTGTGTCAGGGATGTTCCCATGGCAGGGTCTTTGCAATTTGTCTTCCTGCTTGAACCACGGAGCTCGCCTCGTGGCTTCCTCTCTCCCTTCCTTCACATCAGATGTCACCTGGTTTGTGGGACTCCCTTGGCCATCCTATGTGAAGCAGTATACTCCCCAGCGGAGCACTCCCAGATTTATTGTTCTCAGTAGTAGTTAGGATCACCTGCCCATGCCATGTGCTTACTCTTTAATATATAAGTCCCATGAAGCCAGGGACTCTGCTTTGTTTCCTGCTGTGTCCCTTGCACCTGGCACAGCACAGGTGTTCAACAGATATTTGCTGAATGAGTGAGTGGGTGCCCATGTACCACTCACTGCGCAATGCCCCCTGCTCCTGGGGGTCTGCCACCAACTAGGAGATCCAAAGGACACACAGTTCTGTCTCCCAGCCTGGACCAGCCTTCGGGATTGCAAACCACTAGAGGGTCTGCCTCCTCCTCAGGGATCCTGACGACCCCGGCACAAAGCACACGTTCCCCAGCATAATTACCACCATCCCATGAGCCGACAGAAACACCTAAAAGGAGCCAGCATGGAGACCTGGCCTCTGCCCATGCGCCCAGGCCAGAATTCTGGACTGGGTCACTGCAAACAGAAAATGAGAGAAAGAGACTGATTCTGGGGCACACTTTTTTGTTTGTTTGAAGAAGCCATTTATGAGGATTACAGGCAAATTAGGTTCTGGTTGTTTAACCTGTTCTGGATTTCCCCAGGTCGGGTATGGGGTGGAGATCAAGCTGGCTTCACTGCAAACAGCACACGGTGGACACTAAACGAACAGCTGATGAATGCACTGTTTGAGCTGGAGGCCTTGGGAAGGAGCACTCGAAACTCCGGGCCTTCAACAGGCAGGGCTTGCTCTGGGCCACAGACAGAATCAAGAGTTCTGTATAGCCGAACCGGTTTGGCTCAGTGGATAGAGCGTCAGCCTGCGGACTCAAGGGTCCCGGGTTCGATTCCGGTCAAGGGCATGTACCTTGGTTGCGGGCACATCCCCAGTGGGGGGCGTGCAGGAGGCAGCTGATTGATCTCTCGCATCGATGTTTCTAACTCTCTATCCCTCTCCCTTCTTCTCTGTAAAAAATCAATAAAATATATTTAAAAAAAGAGTTCTGTATAAAAAGGTTTATGGGGAGGTTTCAGGGAAAGTATTTTTCCATTTCAATATATGAAACAGTATTTTTGCACTCTGGGCAGTTTTGGGCATTACTGTGAGAGAATATAGAACTTTTCAACAAGGGTGCTTCTTACTACATTTTGGGATGAGGGTTTCCTTGTGAGAAGACAGCACCCAGTGGGTAATGGAGAAGAGGCCCTCAGAGACGCTGGAACCTTGCAGTCTCGTGCCCGTCACCTGAGGTGCACCCCTGGGGTTCTGATGCTCCCACCTGGCTTTTCCTGCCTCCTAGAGAAGGCACACAGCTTTATCTAAGGCCCCCTTGATGGAGCTTCTTCTCGGGCCTTAAGGAAAATGCCTGAGGAGACCAGGCCTGGACTCCCAAGCCCCGCTGGATAAAGCTATGCAGCGATCTGAAGGACCCTCTGGAAGAAGATATGGAGCGATCTGAAGGACCCCCTGGAAGAAGCTATGGAGCCATCTGAAGGACCCCCTGGAAGAGGCTACGGAGCCATCCGAAGGAACCCCTAGAGAAGCTACAGAGCGATCTGAAGGACCCCCTGGAAGAGGCTATGGAACCATCTGAAGGACCCCCTGGAAGAGGCTACGGAGCCATCTGAAGGACCCATTGGAAGAGGCTACGGAGCCATCTGAAGTCTACTTGAGTTAATTGCTATAAAGATCCTTAAATATTCACTATCTGGCCTTTTGCACATAGTTTGACAACCCTTGCTCTAGCACAGGGATCCTCAAACTTTTTAAACAGGGGGCCAGTTCACTGTTCCTCAGACCGTTGGAGGGCCGGACTATAGTTTAGAAAAAAACTATGAACAAATTTCTATGCACACTGCACGTAATCTTATTTTGAAGTAAAAAAACAAAACGGGAACAAATACAATATTTTTATTTGCATGTGGCCTGTGGGCCGTAGTTTGAGGACCCCTGGGTTATGGAGCCATCTGAAGGACCCCCTGGAAGAAGCTACGGAGCCATCTGAAGGACCTCCTGGGGTTGTTCCTGGGGAGGCCTGGAGAGTCATCCTGTGAGATCCAGTTCTTGCTTTCAGGACTGATGAGTGAGGAAGCCCCGAGGCTCAGCCCAGCTCTGTCACCTGCTGGCTCCTCCCTCGCCACCTGTGCTCACAGGATAGAGGGTTGGGGTCTGAAGTGCTTCCAAGTGACAGCTTGTGCAGTGCCCAGGTGCCGCAGGCCCAGGATGCCAGGTGCCTTGGAAAGTAGCTCCTGCTTGTGGCCACGGTCTTGAGTTCGAGAGGCTGCTTGGGCAGGGTGGGGCTCCGCAGGCGCATCAAAGTGCATGTGTGTGCTGGTTGGTGTCAGGCAGAGGCTGAGGGTGGGGGAGGCCTGCAGCATGGGAATCTGTCTCTTGGCTCAGTCCGTTAGTTGGCACCGAGTTTACCTGGGCTTTGTTGAACTCCGACAACACCTCCTGCAAGATGAGTTTGAATCATCAGCATTTACTGTTCCCAGGTCTGAGTTGTAGGACATGGGCTCCTCAGAAGGATCTGGGATCTTGGAGTCATTTTCTTGGAGTAGGCAGCTATCGGAGTCTAGGCTGCAGGACAGTTGGGAGGAACTGGTGTGTCCAGGCTGAGGAAGGAGGCAGTGAGCTGTCCGTTCCATTGGATCTTATGGCCCAAGTGCTGGCCTTCAATGTCCTCTGAGCCTGAGGAAAGGGAAATGGAATCCAGAGACTCCTTCCTCTGTACCAGAGGTGGTAGCAGGGTTGAGCTCCGAGAGTGGGTGAGCGTCCTCTCCCTTAAGGTGGTGGGCTTGTAAGGTAAGGGTGTTAGTCCTTGCAGGAAGCTGAGGAACTCGCCCTTCCCGGGGTCTCCAGGCAGCGGGGAGCTGGTAGTATTCACTCTTGCAGGAAGCACTCCATCAGGCCATTGTTGAGGGCCAGCCGAGCCAGGCCCAGCGGCTGCCCACGTCCCTGCTCCAGTTCCGAGATGCTCTGTCTGTGGGTGGCAGCTTTCAGGAGGGGCCAGAAGACAGCTGAGGCAGAGGCTTCTGGTGGGCACTCACCCACACACTGGATTCAGCTCAGAATGCTTGGTGTGCAGGCCGTGGATGGCCACGCCTCCGGGGTGCTGGATGTGGTGCTGGCATCTCTTTGCCAGTGAACATGGTGTCCCAGGACACCTGCTGCTGCAGTGCCTTCACGGAGCGCACTAGCTGCTGCTTGATGACGGGGTAGCAGCCAGGGTCCAGTCCATTCTCCCCCACAGAGCATTGCTATTCATGCAGCATCTCCCAAGGAGAACCTCCTGCACCTGCAAGGAGAGCCGTGGGGGGTAGGGGTGCTCTTGTCACGGCAGCCAGAAGCTCCCACCCGACCCTGCGGCCTCCTGGTTACTGACTAAAAAAGGTTAAGTTTTTTTATGTTTAAAAAATCCCACCCATTTCCCTAACTCCCCCCATATTAATAATTATTCATCCTTGTATGCATAGAAGTGTGTATCCCTCAGGGTGGCACAAGAGATGGAGGTGGTTTTTACCTTTCATACTCTTACCTGTGTGTTTGGACGTTTTCTAGAATGGTTTCATGTTCTTTAATAATTGTTTTAATTTATTTTTATTTTTTAAATATATTTTATTGATTTTTTACAGAGAAGAAGGGAGAAGGAAAGAGAGTTAGAAACATCGATGAGAGAGAAACATCGATCAGCTGCCTCCTGCACGCCCCCGCACTTGGGATGTGCCCGCAATCAAGGTACATGCCCTTGACCGGAATCGAACCCGGGACCCTTCAGTCTGCAGGCCAACGCTCTATCCACTGTTCCACACCAGTCAGGGCTAATTGTTTTAATTTTCAAAAGCAGTTGGGCAGTTTGGTTAAGCACATACAGTAATACTGCCTACTGTGCATATTAGATTTTATTTTTAATTTTTTAAGATATATTTTTATTGATTTCTGAGAGGAAGGGGGAGAGAGAGAGAGAGAGAGACATCAATGATAGAGAATAACAGATCTGCTGCTTCCTGCACGCCCCCCACTGGGGATCGAGCCTACAACCTGGGCATGTGCCCTTGACCAGAATCAAACCCGGACCCTCCAGTCCACAGGCTGACACTCCATCCACTGAGCCAAACCAGCTAGGGGTGTGTATTAGATTTTAAAGTTATTCTTTGTGTGTGCTCCCTTCTGAAATTGAGATATCTGCTCTCTTGCTTATATTGGAACATTTGTCCATATATATGGGTCCTTGGGGAAGAGGTATTCTCCATTATTTTGTGTGCGTGAGAGAGCAGGTGGGAAGAGTAGGGAGTGAGGGTTTCTTTAAGTCAGAGTTACAGGAACTTCATGTTCTTCAGTTTTGATGTAAAGTAGAAACCTAAGTACAATTTATAAGCTTAGTTTATTTTTCTGCTGGTTTGTGTGTAGTTTGACATTAGTTAATTAGTAGATAAATTAACATTTACTTTACATACTTTATTCTCAGCTAGTTCAGGGCAATAGTGTGAAGAAGTTAACATTTACATTTAGAGCTGAGTGTTAGATTGCTTACCTGGGTATTCAAAGAGTGGTAGAGCTGGGATTGTCTGCCTTTGAGTCCAGCCCCCATTCTTCTCCAGGGTGTTACCTAGTTTGTATTCCTGTGACTTGGATGTTCAGCTGATATTTCATTTTTCTTGCTCTGTATATTGTGTTCCTGAGCTTGTCTATCCATCCCATTTAGTTGGTTTAATCTTGGGAAGTCTATAGTTGATTCTTCGATTCTTCCTGACACAGTCTTTCCTTCTCCGTGCTCTCTCTCCTCTCTTCTTCATGAGGATGCAGTATAATAAGAGGTGAGAGAGCATGAGCCATAGACTCAGGCAGATCTGGGCTTAATACCTCTCCATCGCTTACTAGCTGAGTGAACTTGGGCAAGTTGCTTAATTTCTCCAAACCTTAGGTTTTAATTGCTTGATAGGGATAGTATCTGTATAGTAATAATATCTGTCTCATAAACAAGCTGTGTTAAATGAGACGATATATGTAAAGGAAAGTTTCAGCTCTGCACCTGTGCGGAGTGAATACTCACCAACTTGCAGTGGTACTTTTCCACATGGCAGCTTGCTTTCAAGGCATGTTTTGGAAGTTATCATATGAGCATGATGTGTCTTCTTTCAGCACAAGTAAAGAAAGCTCTTCTCAGGACGTTGAAAGCACCTTTTCTGGAGACTGTTTACACAAGTCTACGACAGTGACTACGCCCCTGGCATCTGCCCGGTCTCCTGTGTCAATGCCTGCACACCCGGCTCCCCGAGCAGTCACCGAGGAGGAGATCAACTTCGTTAAGACCTGTCTTCAGAGGTGGAGGAGTGAGATTGAACAGGATATACAAGGTTGGCTATTCTAAATTTGTCAAACAGCTATTCTTTGCCTTCTCTGTTTGTTTGAGTATTTGGAAGTTTGGCACCTTGGGTACACCTGCTGCTATTGCCTTATACAGTGGGGCCTTGACTTACGAGTGTCCTGACTAAACGAGTTTTTCGAGATACGAGCCGATTTTTTGTTTTGAGTTGCGAGCTAAAATTCGGGTTATGAGCCAGCTTCAGATACCCTACTGCTAGTTGGCGCAGTGAACGTCACAGTGAACGCCAGTGATTTGACATATGAGTAATTTGAGTTATGAGCTCCATCACGGAACGAATTAAACTCGTAAGTCAAGGCCCCACTGTATAATTGAATTTTGCCATATATGCCGTTAAATTTTGGCATGGGGATTGTGACTTCTTCCTTTAGTTCCCTGTAAGATTGGATCACAGACTTCCATTATATAACTGTGGAAAGAACCCTCCTCAACATTTCTGGGCTTCCTGGGCAGCTCCCTTGCTCATGTCTCCTTTGGGTTGGGATTTTTCTATATGGCCTCCTGGTCATGTTGCTCAGACTTTTCTTCCCCTTTCTCCTTTTATCTGGGGAGCAAAAAATGAAAATGAAAATTCAGATTTCTTCCAGGTTCTTATTCACAGAAATTTAGTCTCTCTTGCTCTGCCACCTTCTTTCAGGTCTTATCTCTAGGACATTTGCACCCAAGTGACCCATTAAAGTCTTTTTCCAAGTAGGCTGTTTCTTCTTTAAGAAATATTGGTGCCAATTAGAAGAGATGATTTTAAAAATCTTAATGTAATTATATTAAACTAACAGTCTTCATAACCTGAAGCACTGGCTGCTTTAAGACTGTCTTCCTTCATGGCTCATCGAGTGGAGTTGAAGTCATCAGGACCCTGGCACAGACAAGCACTGCTCATTGCTTAGTGGAAGCAGCCTCTGTGATGTGGAGTGAAGTCATCTGAACTAAGTCTTCTCTTTTAACAGATTTAAAGAACTGTATTGCAAGCACTACCCAGACTATCGAGCAGATGTACTGTGATCCTCTCCTTCGCCAGGTAGAATGAATTGATGGGAAAGTAGTCGAGCATGTTCTAGTGGTGCTAATGGCAGATACAAAAAGGAAACTGGATGGCTTTCTTTGCAACTCAGTGAGAACCTCCTGAGACGTAAGAATACACTTAGGAACGAAATTGGTAGTGTTCTGTTATTTTTATTTTAGGTAAAGAAAAAAGTAATATATCTTCTGCCACCAGTAGAAGGCAAAATATATTTGTTTTGATTCTGCTACGTGTTACTTTTTGATATATTAGAAAGGCATGCTATCAGATATTAATAAAAATTGTCACGCCTAGTAATTTAGGTAGTACAGTGGGGAAACCTGAACTAGGGACCAGTTACTTGTCCTTTTCACGGTACTGTGGTCCTTTGTGTACCTGCATGCATAACAGAGAAAGTTATGCTTTCAAGGTTGGTTTCTCCTATGACTCTAAAAGGGAGGTAGGCGGGCAGTTCTCATTGTCCACATAATTTTTTGTTTAGAATGACATTCTGGCATGGAAGGGAGAGAGGTTCCAGTCAGGGGCATGGCCTCTTAGTGCTTCGGGGTCAGTGGCCGGAGGAGAAGTGCTGTCTCCAGGGTTGCATGGAGGCATGGTTCTGTTGCATGGCGGGAATGCATCATGTAAATCTTGGTTTTCTCCCATTTTCTCTTTTGCATTATTTCAAAAACTTCTCCACCAGTAAAAAACGTGTCAAGGTACTGATTAAATGTAAGTTTCACTTGAGTCTATGGCCAACTTTACCTTTTCCCATCAGTAGTTACTTGGCACATAAGCATTGCTTTATGTTCTGCATATTGTAAAAAGAAATGCCTTTCAGGTGTGGAAACTAACAAGAATGTAGTTAAAAGGGTCTCCCCCTAGATAGGTGAACAAGAGGAAATACAGGGACATATGACTGATTCATAATGAAATATGCTAACTTAAATGTCAGTGCCAACTATAATAGACAGAGAACAAGAGGGCCGCTAAACTAGCTGTAGGTCCCAAACGTGGTAAGCATTTTCTCAGCATATCGGTCAGGATGATTCTATTTTTACATAAACTGTGTTTGGAATTGGGGAATAAATAGGTCTGGGTTATCTTTGGTTTTAGATCTATAATCGTAAGAGTTTAGAGTTGAACGAGGTCTCAGAGGAGGTTATCTAGTTCAATTGTCTGATTTTAAAGATTTGGGAACTGCAGCATAATTGGTAGATTCCAAGGCTGTGTTTTGTTAGTTCATCTTGAATCACCAAGATGTCTCAATGTGAACAAATATATATATATACCTTCCTTACGTCTGGTAGTTGGGAATAATCTTGGATTTTAGTAACCTAAGCTTTGTCAGATTACTGTACTGACTCTCACTCGGAAATGTGCTTTCTGGTTTGGAGGTGCCTTATCGCTTGCATGCGGTGCTTGTTCATGAGGGACAAGCAAACGCTGGACACTACTGGGCCTACATCTACAATCAGCCCCGGCAGGTCTGGCTCAAGTACAATGACATCTCTGTGACCGAATCTTCCTGGGAAGAACTTGAAAGAGATTCCTACGGAGGCCTGAGAAATGTCAGTGCTTACTGTCTGATGTACATTAACGATAAGCTACCCCACTTCAACGCAGGTAAAAATATCTTCACAGGAGCCAGAAATGGGGGAAGTCTGTACTGCTCAGGGAAGAGGGAACATTCTTTATAGATTAAAATAATTTTAACCTAGAATTTATCATGAAGTAATAATGCATTTTTAAAAATACAAACGAGAATAAAGAGGAAAAATAAGTTTGCTCTCCGGCTTCTATTCTTGAGCCCAACAGGTATCCATTGTCAGGTTTCTTATGCTGTGTTCAGAAACTGCTCTGTGCAGTGACTACATTTACTTATTGACATCTCCTTCATCCCATTTTCCCCCAAATGGGATATTTTCCATTCTGTTTTTCTTCCTTTTTATTAATTGTGTATCTTAGTGACCTCTATATTTTCATAAATAAAATTGACTCATTATTTTATTTTAATTAATCCTCACCTGAGAATATGTTTTTATTGATTTGATTTGATTTGATTTTAGAGAGAGAGAGAGAGAGAGAGAGAAACATCAATTGATTGCCTCCCGTTACATGCCCACAACCTGGATATGTGCACTCACTGGGAATCAAACCTGCAACCTTTTTTGGCATACAGGACATTCCAACCGAGTTCACCCGACCAGGGCTCTTCCTTTTTAACCCCATAATCATTCCATTGCATGGAATATATGTATATTATGTATGTATATAATTTATTAAACCAACCTCCCATTGAAAGACTTTTAAGTTTTCTCTAGTTTTTTCCTTTTTTAGTAACATTTCGTATACATTTTTAAATGTTTTTATTGATTTTAGAGAGAGAGGAAGAGAGAGGGGTAGAGAGATATCAACATTGATGCTAAGAGCAGTTATGCTTATAATATATATTGGTGCTTTATTCCTTACTGCATGCTTTCAATTTTTATTTCTCTAATAATTTATAACTGTAAAAACTGCGACCCTTCAGTTTGTGGGCTTGCGCTCTAACCACTAAGCAACCAGCTAGGGCTATCCTGCCATTTTTCTTTTTTAAATATATTTTATTGATTTTTTACAGAGAGGAAGGGAGAGGGATAGAGAGTTAGAAATATCGATCAGCTGCCTCTTTGACACCTCCTACTGGGGATGTGCCCGCAACCAAGGTACATGCCCTTGGCCGGAATTGAACCTGGGACCTTTCAGTCCGCAGGCTGACGCCTATCCACTGAGCCAAACCGGTTAGGGCGCCATTTTTCATTATAGCTTTTAATGACCCAGGTATTATTGACCATCTAACTATTGTACCAAATTGCTTTCTGATAGCACTTCATTGCCTGAAACTCAAGACAGCATGAATGCATTGGAATTCATCTCTAACCATCTTTAGATAGATATTCTTATCAATAATAGATGCAGTGGTTATATTGATAAAATTATTTTGTTTGAAATTTTCAGTGGATCTAATGATTTTTCTGAATTTCCGGGAAATATTTGGTCCATTCTTACTATTTTACCTGTGATTGGCCTCTATTCCAAATCCTTACATTCATTTGTTCCTTCATTTAACAGATAATTCAATATGTGCCTACCTACTAATACACCAGGCTCTGTTATTGATGTGCTCTGACTGTTGGCCTTATATTGTCAATACTTCTGATGGATTATTGTATATGTATTTTTCATTAGGAAAGACCTTTTGATTTCTCCATCTTTGTTCTTTCTCAGAGGCAGTCCCAAATGAATCAGATCAGATGTTGGGAGAATTGGAAGCCTTATCTGTTGAACTTAAGCATTACGTTCAGGAAGATAACTGGAGATTTGAACAGGAAGTAGAGGAGTGGGAAGAAGAGCAGTCTTGCAAAATTCCTCAGATGGAATCTACCAACTCCACATCACAGGATTTCTCTACACCACAAGGTATTCGAGAAGGGCAGTGTGCCAGCGATAGTATTCACACTGCACTCCTTCAGCCAGCCCTGTGCTGATGGAGTGGTGCACAATACATTTCAAATAGAGTTGATATTGCACAACCTAATGGGATAACTTATGGTTCAGAACGTGATTTCTGATGAGTAGGAGTAATAGCAGAAAGACTAGCTACCTATACTATTACTCTGTTTAGTTTTGCTTATTTCCCAGGCTATAAGAGGAATTATGGTAGGATTAATAGGTGGATTTTATGAAAACAATTATCCAAAGGTGACCTTCCACCAGGTCAAATACATGGTAATGAAAGGAAACTAGATTTTGGGTGGGGAACATGCAATAGATTACACAGATGTTGAATTATAATCTTTTTTTTTAATTAAATCTTTATTGTTCAGATTATTACATTAGTTACTCTTTTTTCCCACCATAACTCCCCTCCACCCAGTTCCCACCCCACCCTCCGCCCTCACTCCCCACCCACTGTCCCATCCATAGGTGCACGATTATTGTCCAATTTCTTCCCTCACCCCACACCCCTTCCCCCGCCCAAGAATAGTCCATTCCCTTTCTATGTCCCTGATTCTATTATAATCACCAGATCATTCTGTTCATCAGATTATTTATTCCCTTGATTCTTAGATTCACTTGTTGATAGATGTATATTTGTTGTTCATAATTTGTATTTTACCTTTTTCTTCTTCTTCCTCTTCT